AAATTTAAAATTATTAAATAATATTAACTATCTATATAAAGATCTAAAAATATAAATAAAACATAGTATAAATTGTTATTGCAAATTGTTTTAAATAATATTTTACTAAATAGTAAATATTATAAATTTTATTATATACATAAAATATAGATTAATAAAATATTTAGTAATTATATAAATATCTAAAAAATAATAATAAAATATATATATTTAATATAAAGTAATAAAAAAAAAAAATTATGAAAAGAAAAAATAATTATAAAAATAAAAAATAAATAAAAATTTATATATATATAAATATATATATATATATATATATTATTGTTATATTTGTTCCAAATTTTTTATATATTTATATTTCTTATCTTTTAATTTTTAATTTTACATTTTTTAAAAATAATAATTGATGAAATTTTCTTTTTTATTATTATATTCAATATTTTTTTTTTTTTTTGTATATTTTTTATTTATTATATTTAATAACATCTATAATTTTATTTGACAATATGAATACTGATGTATTATTATTTATTTTATTATCAAATTATTTATTTAAAAAATAAAAAATTATTTAATATATTTTATAAAATAAAAAAAATAAAATAATCATTATATATATATATATAATTTTTTTTTTTTTATTTTATTTTTATATTTTAAATTATCTTAATTTTTTTGTTTATTTTTGATTTATATATATTTATAAATTCTTTGTAAAAAATAATAGTATTAATTTTTTTTTTATTTCTTTTTTATAATATATAAATTATAATATCTATAATAAAATCTTGATTTTATATTAAATATAATAAATTAATTAAATAAATAATGTTATTAATAAATTTTATGTACATTTAATTTTTAATTTTAATTATTTATTTTGATAATTGTATATAATTAAGATAATTGAAAGAAAATCTACATAATGATTTATATATGTATAGATAATATAAATAAATAAAAAGTTAATTTTTAAATAAAAATAAAATAAATTATTTACATATAACAATAATCATATATTTATACTAAAATAATAATATTTTATTAAAAATAAAAAATAAAAATAATTTAAATAAATATAAAGATATTATCAAATTTTAAATAATATAAAAAATAAAAAAAAATACATTTAAAAAAATTATAATAAATAAAAATCAAATATATTTAAATATATTAATATATATATATATATATATATTATATACATAATATATACAAAACATTTTTATTAAATTTTATAAATATATTTATTTATTTTTAATAGTTCAATTACATAAACTATTATGAATATTTATATCTTATGTAATTACTTTTTTTATAAAATTAAAGGAAAATATAAAATTTTTAATAGTTGAAAAAAAAAATTTATAAATTATATTTTTATAAATTTTTATTATATTTAAATTATAAATATTATAAATTATAATAAGTTTATATTTTATAACTTTTTAATAAATAAATAAAAATAAATATAAATTGATAATAAAAATATTTATTATTAAAAATTATATACACATTATTAAAAATCTTTATTAAATCTATTATTTTTACTTAAGAATAAAAAGTAGTTTTAATAATTTACTTTAATCGCAAACGTTTGTAATATATATTAATATTATATAAAAGAAATTATTAAATATAATATATATAAATATATTTATAAAATTTAATATATATAAATATTAAATATTATTAATTTAAATTTATTATAAAATCTTATATATATATATTTATATATATTGTTAATATAAATATATTTTTTTTTTTATTTTTATTATATTTTTAATTTTTTTTTAAATCTGTATTTTTAAATTTAATCATTATATTAATATTTTAGAATTATTATTTAACTTTTTTATTTTAATTTTATTAGATCTTAAATAAAAATTATTGATAATATTTTTAATCTAAATTATATAATTTATATAAAAAAAATTATATATATTAAGTTTTATTTTTTTTATAAATTAATTATTAATTATATTATTTTTATTTGAATAATATTGTTAAAGTTTATTTTTATAAATATCTATTATTTCAATATTTAAATATTAATTTTATATTTTTTAGTATTTTTATATATAAATTTTTTAATTATTTATTATAAAAAAAAGAATATTAGTATTTATATACATTATATTTTATTTATATATATATATAAATAGATTATTAGATATATTCATAATAATATAAATAAAATATATAATTTTAATTTGACTATATATTTATATTATTATTATTTTTATTAAATAATATATATATTATATTTAAATAATTTTAAATTTATTATATCATATATAAAATATCATTAATTTTTTTATTTATATTTGATAATATTATTATTATTTATATATAATTCTATTTTTTTATTTATTTTATATTAATATTAAAAATATTTATTTTAATAAAAAAAAATATAAATTATTTTTAATTTTTTTTTTATTATTATTATATTACCATATCTATTATCATATTTTATATGCGTCTTAATATTTTTTAAAAAATTAAGATTAAATATTATTATTATATTGTATTATCGTATATAAGAAAATTATATTTTTATAAAAAAAAAAATTAATATAATTTGTATAATTATAACATTTTTTAAAGATAAATAGATAAATAATAATAAAATTAATACTATTTATATTAATATTATATCATAAGTTTTTTAATAAACTCTATATATTTTATAAAATATGATTTTTTATTTTACATTAATTTTTTTTATTATTATTAATTGCAAAATATAAAAATTTTCTTATACTAAGATTAGTTAAAATTAATGAATAGTTTATTTTTTTCAAATAAATAAAATATATGAAAACTTAAACAAAAAAAGATAAATAAAAACTAAAAAATATAAATATAATCAAAATATGTATAAAAATAATAAACTCGAAATAATTTTTTTTTGATACCAATATTTTAGGTTAAAAAGTACTCTAAAACTAAGTTTCTATGATGAAATATTAAAAATAATAATAAATTCTCAATCAAATAATTTAGATATATGTAATCTATTAAATAATAAATATAATATTAAGGTTAAATCTAAAATATATTTTATTTAAATAGTTAAGATTTTTATAAATAGATTATAATAATATACTCTGATACCGCTAAGGTTATAAAATACATACCAGTTATGTAGAATATTTGAGGATTTAAATTCCTTAAATAAATAGAATTTAGTAGGGAAATAATATGCGGAAATAAAAGAATCTATGGAAGAAGAAATATCCTATGAATAGGTTTATACTTATAAAATCGACAGTTATTTAAATAAAAAATTAGATCAAGAAGTTATAAGAGTTTTATTTGGGATTAATTAGAAATTTTCTAACTCTGTCCTACATATTATTGGGTTTAAATTATAAAAATTTACAACATAAGTATCAAGAAAATGTTAAAAATATAAAAATATATCTATATATAAAAATTGGCTATTTAGACAGGAAAAACAAAAAAATTTTAACCCGAAAATAAAAGAAAATTTTAAATTAAAATATATAAGCCTAATCTAATGGATTCAAAATTCTTTGTTAAAAATACTTTATAGATATTATAAATAATTTAAAAGCAATAATAATATATAACTAAAAAATAATTATCAAAAAATATTTTTAAATAAAAAAATAAAAAATTTATTTATATTAAATATTATAATTAGTTTTTAAAAATAAATTAAACTTATAAATAAATTTATATATATATATATATATATATATATATATATATATATATATATATATTATATTCCATAATTAAAAATTATATTATTATTTTTTATATTATAATATAATTAAATAATAATTTTATTAAATATTCATTAAATATTTTATACTTTATATTAACAAAATATATATAATTTATATATTATTATTATATATTTTAGAATTATAAGCTAATAATAATTTTTTAATTATATATTTTATAATTATACATTTATCACTTATTAATAATTTTTTATATTATATTTTTTTTATATTTTACATTTATAATTTTATATATAATAATTATTTAAGATTATATTGAATATTTTTATTTTATTTTTATTTATTTGAATATTAATATTAAATATAATTTTGTTCTTCATTCTAATTATATATAACATTTTCTTTTAATATATTTTTTATATATTTAATAAAAATAATTATATCTTTTGTTTATATTATTATTTATTTTTTCTATATTATTTATAAAAATATAAATATTATTTTCTATTTTAAACCAATAATGAATTATTATTTATTTTAAAAAATGTATAATATTTAAAAAAAAACTATTTATAAATATTAAATTATCATATATATATACAAAAAAAAATATTTTAAATTATTGACATTTTATATTGTAATTTAATTTTTTTTTACAATTATTTTATACTATTATTTATTTTTATATATTTTTATAAAAATATATATTTTTTTTTATATATATAAAAATATAATAAATGATATATTTATATAAATTTATTTTATATTTAATTAATTATTTTTTAATATTATTATTATAACATTATTTTAAAAATTCTAAAGAATTCTAATTTAATGTTTTTATAAGTATAGATATATATTAATTATTCTTTAATATTTAATAAAACAATATTTTTATTCTGTTATTTTCTATTAATGTTAAATAATTTTATTATATTATCTTTTTAATTAATTTTTTTTTTTTTCAAAATATTTTTTTTTTACTTATATATTATCATATTTAAATTGATCTATTTCATTTTATATTTGAATAAAACTTGTGATAAATATTTAAATTAAAAAATTTTAATAAAGTATAAATGCATTTATCCTTAGCTATAAATATCTTAAAAATTATTTATAATAAATACATATAATTATTAATTAAATATTATTTATAATAAATACATATAAATATTAATTAAATATTATATAATAAATGAAAATATTAATAATATATTTGTTTTAATTAACTTGTATTTTTGGTTTACATGTACTCTAACACTAATGTGTCCATGATTAATGGTATAACCATACAAAGTAATCTCCCCTGATGATGATCATACAGATCTTCGTAATTTAAAACCTAAAAAGTCCCGTAATATGATTATAACTTACGATATGACCTATTTCTAAAATTTACCTAGAACTCCTAAAAATTAATTAATAATCGATACTTGTGAGAAAGCTTTAAAAACAGCATTTAATTATTTTTCTAATCTTATAAAAATAGTTCCAAAATCTGAATAACAGATGAGATTTAATTCCAGTCTTGACAAATGTGGAGAAGTTACAGTTCCTTAAAACGACAGAGACAAGGGAAAAGATTCTGATTTACATATATATGCATAATATTTAAATAATGATTAATTATCTTTTGTAGCCTATGCTGCTAATTGTTAATTTGTGTATAAGGTAGGACCTTCTCATGGTTAAATTACTTTTAATTTGGGTTAATTAGAAAAAAAAGATTTAAGTTAATAATTTATATTTTAAGATATATTAGAAATAGTTATCCATGAAATGACTCATGTTTTGGGTTTTTCACAACACTCTATACCTTTATGGATATAATCAGATAAAAGCTCTTATGCTGAACCTACTTTCAGATAAATTTTAAGGGGAATTGATACTTTATTTCTCAAAACTCCTCATGTTTTATAGTTTGCTCGAAAATATTTTAATTGTCCTACTTTAGCTGGTGTGCCTCTTGAAAATTTAGGAGGCCTAGGTTCTGAAAACTCACATTGGAAAAACACAGTAATCAATAGTGAATATATGAATTCATATTAATAACCTTTATAATCATATTTTAGTGGTTTTACAGCCAATGCTTTAAGAGACACTGGCTTCTATGAGGAAATAAAAGAATCTATGGAAGAAGAAATGTTCTATGGGAAAGGAGCAGGCTGTCAACATGTCACTGGTTAATGTGATTCTAATAGAAATGAATTTTGTATTCCTTCAGTTGAAAAAGATTTTTGTGATTTCTCTCATATTGGAGCTTCAAATTGTATTGCCGGTTAATTTAATGAATCTAATTGTTATACATTTTAAATTTATTTGTATAAGGAATGCTGGAATATTTAAAATATGTAACACTCATAATAAACATAAGAAGTTTACGGAATTTAATATGGAGTTGATTCGAAATGTTTTAACTCTTCATTAATAAATGAGAAGTTTTATGAGGAGAATCCAAAAATTTAAGGTTTATGTTATAAATATAGTTGTAGTTCTAATGGATAATAAGTGACTATTCATGTAGGAAAATAAAAAGTTGTTTGCACAAAAAATTTTGAACTCATGCAAGTTAAAGGATATGATGGAAATATTTTATGTCCTAAAAATATAGTTTAGTTTTGCAAATTGAAAAAAATTTGTCCGAAATTCTGTAGTTCAAACGGATATTGTCTAAATAATAAGTGTGTTTGTAATAAAGGATACTTTGGAAGCGATTGCAGTTTAAGAAATCCTTTTTGAAAAAATATTACATTTTTTTATTATTTTTTTACATATTAAAAACATTATTTATTAATATTTATATTATTATGTTTTTTTTAGGTTAAGAATATAAATACTAAATTTTAAATTTTATTTAATTTATATTTTCAAAAAAAAACATAATAAATAAAAATTAATTATAATTTATTTTGAAAATTTGTCAAATTTTTAATTTATTTTTTTATAAAAATAAATAATAAAAAATAAAAAACTAAAATAAACTAAAATATATAAATGAAGATATTCATAAATTTTAAAAAATATATTAGTTTTTATCATTTATAAACAATATTTTAATTCTAAATAGTTTCTATGCTTACAAATTATAAATATTTATTATTTTTTAAATTATTATTATTTTAATCATTAAAATAATTATAATAATTTAAAATCTTTGTAATAAATTAAAAGAAATTTAATATAATAATATAAAAATTTCTTAAATATAATAAAAATAACAAGTATTAAAATATTAAATAATAAAAAAAAAAACATAATGTGTTAAAATTCTTAAGAAAAAATTTTAAAATTAATAAAAAATAAATAATAAAAAAAAAATCAAATTGAAAATAATTTTAAAAAATAAATAAAATAATAATTGAATATATATATATATATATATATATAAATATATATATATTTATAAATTCATATACATAATTTATATAATTTTTTATTATTATATAAATTTTTTATTAAAATAATATTAAATAAATTTTTAAAATTTACTTTATTATAAATATAATCATTTAATAAAAAAATTAAATCAAATATATTAGTTTATATGACATATGTATTTAAATTTTAAAATTATTTTTTAATAAAAATCAAAAAAAAAAAAAA